ACCTTGTAATTTTTTTTTTTTTTAAAATTTTTATGTAAAAAAAAAACTATTTTTTTTTTTTTAACCTATTTAAACAATTTTTTTATTTCATTTTTTTTTTTAAAAAAAAAAAAAAAAAAAAAAAAAAAAAAAAAAAATAGAAGAAAAAGAAATCATTTTTCAATAAATACGCCTTTGTCTATTATCATCATCCGTTACACACTACTATTACCGTTATGCATGTATTTATTCGATTTCTTTCTACTACATTGTTTATTATTCATGATGAACATTAGTTGAATCCATTGACTGACTAGTGTCTATCTCTTTTTCTCTGTTCAATAGATAGATAGATTTTTAGTATAAATGACATGATGAATAGAATAGAATAGAAAAGGAAGTGTAGATGTTCAGTGGTTCATCTCATTCATTCATGTTCAATTCTATGATGTGATGATAATGATTATTGTCTTGTTAAAGACATGTTATTTTTTCTGATTTACATTATTCAATAGTATGGTGACTGCTTTCCTCTTTATATTAAAAGAAATTTTATATTCCCTTGTTTTCTTTCACTATATCTATATACATAATACAATAGCCTACCTGTCTATCAGCAGAATTTTCAACAACAACAAAGAAAAAAGATTTTTTTTTTCTTACAAAAAAAAACCTTTCTAACAACTTTTTTTTTTTTGAATAGTTTTATTGAATAGAAAAAAAAAAAACATACTGAATTATTGTCAAATCCTGTTTAGGTGATGACTTTTCACAAATTTTTTCACCATTAAGCAAAAAAAATCTACTAGTATAAAATTTTAATCAGCATTCTACATGAACCATTCTGTTCATTTGAGAAAAATTTATCTTACTTTCTGTTTGTATTAAGGAATAATAAATATTTTCATAAAAGCAGAGAAAATTAAGTTACCATAGTTTTTCTTTCTACTGAATGTTTTTAGATTTTTTGTTAGGAAATTTTTGTATTTTTCTTGCACAAGTCTTAGAGTCGATTCTAGAAAAATCTTTATAGTTAAAAATAATCATTTAACAAAGAATCATTTTGAAAAAATCTTTTTTTCTAAAGATTCACAACTGACAATCTTTAAGTTCGCGTATGTAATTGGAGAAATATTGAATGTTTAGTTGTATATTTAGATTGAGATTTAGCACTTGAATTTTGTGTCGTTCGTAGTGTTTACCGTTCAAAAATAAAGTCTATTTTGTGCTATAAATGGCAAGAGTTAGGAGTAGTAGATGAAAAATCAATAATAAGGGGAAATGTGCAATGAATCTGCAAAATGATCTCTTATACCTGCAAAAAGACTCATTAACAAGTAAATTCATCTTCATTAAAAGGAAAATGCCGTCTGAAAAGATTCTTTTTTTCATAAATCAACATGACGAATTTTCTAGTGAGGGGATTATACTTTCTTGTCAAATGGCAGCAAAAATAAATAAACAAGAAACAGTTTGTTTTCCTAACAACAATATTATTCAACTGAACAACAAGTGAAAAAACTGATATTTCCGAGATGGTTTTCTTTTTTGATCAATTTATTTGAGACTGCTCTAGATATTTGTAAGTAACATTGTCGCCTGAGGAATTTACTATGATATTTGAGTATTCTTTCCTTTTGTATGTGTGTGTGTGGTATGTGTTCATCAACTTTGAAAGGTTTTTCTTCTTTCTTCTTTTATCAAAAATTTGATCAAACCATATAGTGTTTTTCTACTTTGTCATTATACTTCATCACTAATCATTGAAAATTAGAAATATAGGATGATAAGGGTCAATTTCCTTTTTCTTTTTTTTTTTCGATTTTCTCGCTTTGTTTCATGGATTTTTTTTTTTTCTATTTTTTTTTTTTTTTGTTGAAAGTAGGTAGGTATAGCTAGCTATAGACTCGCATCACGTAAAATTCCATATGTCTCTTCTTCAGTTCATTAAAATCTGACACGACGGGTTCTATTATAATCGATTTTTACGCTTCTTTAATAGGTATTTATATATATATTGATCAGTAGGTAGTGGAAAAATTAGTTTATATGTTGTTTTTAAAATTGAAGTCAAATCATCGACATTCTCTCTATAAATAAAGTAGATTAGATCAGTGAGAGGTAATAAAGCGCTAAACACACACACACGAGAGAAAAAAAATGGTTAAAAGGTACGAACGGTCGCTCGTACCGCAAGTGAGCTAGATCTGCCACTGCACGAAAGATAATACAATTTTCCACTATTCATATACATAATAGATCATCAACATATTTTTTTTGTGGATCAAATTGCTAGCTAATTATATTTGATCTATTGAGCAAAGAATCCATATTTTCTTTTTTTCTCATACTCGTCTGAATATTTTTTTTTTTTCTTCGGTTTTTATTTTACTGAAATAAAAACGTATAATTATGTTGAATCATGGATGAAATTTTGCTTGAAAGAAATTGTACAAAATTAGTTTTTAATGTTTTTCTTTTAAAAACAGGAAGAATTGACATTAGTTCAATATACACGTGATTGAGTACATCACTGCAGGTAAATTAGAAATGAAATACGATTTCTATAGTGAGATATTGATCACCCGTCGTTCAGTCTATTTTTTAATGTTCAATACTATACAAGTCTCGTATAAATTTCATTTCATACGATATACCATTATCTGAAAAATATATACCACCCTTTTGGAAAACACAGTAAAATCTAGAATGTACGTTTTGTTCGTTCGTTTGTTCGACACTGTATATGAATGATGTTTCTATACTTTTCTATCATTTCTATCATTTAATATAACGTAAGTACATTTCATAGTTATTTTCAAATAAAATTCAACTTATTTTTAAGTTGATAAAATATTGAGGAACATATTTTATTTAGTATTTTTAATAAGATAAAACCAAATTATTATTATTAATCAATGTTTAAAATAGAAACATATTGTATTTCAAACGATGTACTCAAATAACTTGATCATTTTACTAAAATGTATTCATTTTTATGACTAACAAGATGAAACAAATTACATTTACATTTACTGACAACAGACAGTTACTAAAATCAAAGATGCTTGAATTTTAAGAATCGAACAATTATTGAATTTAAACGTCACTTGAGATTGATCGTTAGATGATGATTTCTTCTTTTTCTCTAAAATTAAAGTGCGTATACCATTTTTTTTTTTATTTTAAGTACACGCAATCATTGTTGAACTTCTATTATTTTTCCAATGTTCAGTTTTTGTTCTTTACCTACTCACACTACATAAGTTTTATATCTCTACCTATTTTCTCTTCTTTTTTTCCTCTCTCTCTCTCTCTCTCTCATTGTACTTGCTACATATTCATAGTTATTATCACCCTCAATTGAATAAAAAAAAACTAAGTAGGAATAGTTTAAAGAGAGAGAGAAAAAAAAGAGAAACAACAACAAAAAACAATTCAAAAGAAAATATCTCTATTGACTTGATATTTTTTTTTCTTCTTCTTTTGTTAAAAATAAAACTCCAATAAATATCCAATCAACATCAATAGAACGGATTTTTTTTTCTTTTTGTGATTGAAAAACCAATCGTGATTTATAGAGAAGAAAAAATATATTTTCTTCTTTTTACGTACCATTCAAAATTAAATCAATTGTAAAACGTTACGATTAATATAGATAAAATTGTTCATTTTTCTAAAAACAGGTAAGATAATTTCATTGGTCAAAAAACTTATAGATGTCTAATTTTTCTTTTTTTTATTTTTCTTCTATTTTATGTGATATTCTATCTTCTCTAATCATTTAATTGATGTCTTATGAAAAAAAAAGGAAAATATTTCTATCATTTTATTTTCATTGTGAATATGGGGAAGAAGAAAAAAATGAGACATTAACAATCAACCATTTAACAAATTATAAAAAAAAAAATTTCTAACCTCTACTGTGTTAGATGATGACTGTTGATTGAAAATTTGTCAAACAGCCGTCAAACATCTGGGGTTTAAAAAAGAATAGAAAAAAAAAATCTAATAATAATTATTATTATTTTTAAAAAATTTTACCGGATGCCGTTTAGTAGTTAAAGGTGTAGAATTTAGATATTTTGATCACTTGTTTAATGAGAAACGACACTGATTAACAGATAAAATTCATATAATAACAGTTCATATTTGCTAAGAGAAGAAATTCAATGAGAAGAAATTTGTAAATCCATAGTTCATTCTTCTTTCTCACTTCATTTTCTTTTTTACTTCTTCTCTGAGTTAGTCTACGAATGTTTGTCAGTTTTTTCCATCTGAAAATAACAACATCAATACTCATCATTTCCAAGTATGAATCGAGCCATGATATATCAAAGAAAAAGATAAAATGAAATATTTTCTTCTTTTTTTTTTTTTTGTATGTCTTTGACAAGAAATTTTATCTTAAAAAACCTCATCAATTTCATCTTCATTTTTTTTACTATGGTAATTAAAATTTCAGATCGATTTTTTATACGGTTAGAATAAGCCCCGAAGTTTACCTTTCTAATATTGAATGGTCTTCATTTTTTTTTTCTTCTCATTTTGAACATTTTTCTTTTTTTAAGGTTTTTTTTCATTTGGCTTCATATTAATCGGTAGGAGTTTTATACTCTTTATTTTGTTCTTTTTCGCGAGAAAAAAAAAATAAAGATTGATTTTTTTTTTTGTGTCTACGTTACAGTAGAACTTATTAGGGTTTCTAGAAACATCATACATTTTGAAATAATTGTTTTACCAGTTTGTTAAATTATAATCTCAAACTTTGTCTTGTTCTTTTTATAACATTTAATTTTGTCTATCAATAGCCGGAAAAGGATCAATATAAAATTTTAATTTAGAAAAATTTTTTTTTCATGCATTTTGTGGTTTTATTCTAGACTGTGTGTGTATGTTAATCTAGATGATTATCAACTAGAACAAATATTATATCATAAATAGAGAAAATGTTGTCATATTCTAGATGTTTAATATTAGACATTTAGTAGAAGAAAAAAAAAAAGTGTCATTTTTAAAAATAATATATCTGTGTCCTTGGATATTCTATGTGTGTTGGATAGTTAGAGATATGCTGATCAATTAGTGACAGGAAATAGATAACGTTCTTTTAATCTTTGACATGATGTTTTTTTTTTTCTTCTTCTTCTCTAAGTTGTTTCTCTATGATAAGATCTAAAATAATGTATAATTTACTGTTGATAAGTAAGATAACTTTTCTATAAATGATTTCATAATATATTTAGAAAAAGAATTTAAATTTATTAAGATATTATGTAAAGAATTTGCTTGTTCTATTCTCTATCTCTTTCTTTTTCAAACACGGCAAGTGTCGAATTAAACAACAAAATAAAAATAATATTATTTTATATATTTTTAAACACATTCATCTTTTTCTCTTTATTTATTTATTTTATTTTTTTTATTCAAATTATTTTCTACAAATTGTTTCTAATCATTTGAAAGAGAGAGAGAGAGAAAGATGAACAAAAATCTATTTGTTCAACTTGAATTGAATAATATTTATTTATTTTATTTATTTTTTTGTTAAATAGTTGAATGCGCGATAATCGACGCATGACTAACACTTGGAAGAAAAAGAAAGTAATGTTCACTTTTGTTTAAACAAATATAGTAAACTTCCGGTTAGTGTATGTGTCTCGTATAGATATTTTTTAGGTTCAATAATTGCTAATAGAATATGTAGATAAAAAGAAGAAGAAGAAAAAAAAGAATATATATATATATGAAAAGAAAAATATTTTTTCTTTCGAAGAGAATATAATTTGAGACTAGAATGATTGAAATTTCCTTCGACAATAATAAAATATTTATAAAAAAAAAAAAAAAAAAAAAGAAGAAAAAGAGAAGAAGAAAGTGTTAAACTATAAGACTCATAACGAGAGACTGATTGCTTTACTTCTTTTCTCTTCTTTTTTTTTTCGTCTTCTTCATTTTCACACAATATATATGTTGTTCTATATTGATAATTGAAATACTACAAAATAAAATTCTGTTGGTTAAATCGTTTATGATCATTTAGAATATTAGTGATTGGCTAAGAAATTTTAGAATAAAAAGAATTACCTTTTTTTTTCAAGAATACAAAACATCATTCTACATATTCAACTATTGATTTTCTTTTTATGGTTTGTAGAAATTTTGAAATTTTCTTTTTTATTCCTGTTTTTCTCAAACATTCATAAAATATAGTAAAGTAGACACATTTGACCATGTTGATGACGTCTGGTACGTTGTTAAAACTCGAACAAACCGTCTCATTGGAAAGTTTTTTTGTTTTCTTCAAATTAATTCGACCATCGTTCGTACAAAAAGACTAACAAATTGACAAAAGAAAATCAGTTCCTGCGATGTTAATTAAGACTTTCTAATTTTAATTTGGTAGACTCGATTAAAATATGTATTTTTAATATAACGAAAACTTGAACTAATATGAAAATGATGTCAAATTTGAGATTCTATCATACTAGCCCGTTTTGATCTTAATACAGAACTAAAATGTGAGATCATATTGAAAATGAGAGAGAGTAATCGAAATTAACTAATTCTCAACTATTTTAAATTATAATTACTCATTTTTTTTTATTTGCTCTTTTATTTAACATGAATATCATCATATTTGTAATTAATACGAATAATGAATTTGAATTCATTTGGGCATTTAGGTCATATGAATTTCCGTTTTAATGCAAAAAGAAAAAAGTAGTTGAGAAAAAAAAGGATATAACTAAGTACAGAGGCTATGTCGATTACATTGACATTTTTAAAATACATCCTTGTGCATGATAAAACATTCCATCAGTTTGATTTTTAGTTCAAAACTAAAATTTGTCTTATATACGATATTATTTGACACAGACATATTTCAGATAGGAAAAAGTCAAATCTATTGAGGGATAATTTTCTCACCTACATGTCCTTTTCCTTTAGTTAATTGAATTCGTTTTATACGTTTTTTTTTTTGTTTTGTTTTTTGTTGTTGCAAAAACGACATGTTCTAAAGAGTAACGGGGGTAAATGCTTCTATTTTTTTTTTTTTTATTTAATTTCATTATTGGTTTTTATCTGTGTGTATTGCAAAAATTCACCTGCTCTCGTTTTCATTGCTTCAACTTTTTTTTTATTTGTAAAAAATTGATGACTTCTAAAGGAGAAAATCTATCACCCGTCCTTTCTTTTCTATTTGAATGATAAATATATACAAAAGACTAAAAAGTTTTTTTTCTCTCTCTCTTATCTATCGTTTTCTTCATTTCTCTCTCTCTCTCTCTACATATATAATAATCATCATTTATAGTGAATAAGATGTGACTGAACTGGGGTAGGGTTTTCTTTTTTTTTGTTTCATTTTAGTTGTGACACTTCATCAAATGTAACACTCTTAAAAGTTATCTTTTTCTATTATTTATTTATTTTATTTTTTTTTGAAAAAACCTGACTAAAAATAAAAAAAAATCGACAATATGCCAGTATATGTGTTATCATTCTAAATCGATTAACATTTATTTGTTAAAGTTATAGAAGAAGATAGATAATAGAGTCAATTAGTAATTGTCATGTATATAAATGTTTTAGTGACTCTATTTTATAAACATACATCAGATTTTATTATTATTATTATTATTATTATTATTTTATTTTAGGATGTAAGAAAAGCTGTTGCACAAATATTAAAATCATTTCAAATTGAAATTGATAGTTTATCAAAACGAAGTAAAGCAGCAGAAAAAGCATTTTTAGAAATTTATCGACATTTAAGTGACCTACCAAGTAAGAAAATTATATTTCTTTTATTTATTAGTACTGTGATTAATATACTACGAAAAAGATAATTGTTTTTATTCTCTATTTCTTATTTAAAAAAAATCCTAAGTGAAAAACTGATGTTTCCTATGATATAGCTTCAATTATCTCAACAACAAAAAAAAAGATAAAAAAAGTTGTCTTTCTAATCTTTTTTATAAAAATTCTTAATGTCTCTTTATTGATTGCTTTCTAGATCCTATTCCAGCACTCGGTTACGTTCAAAATTTACAACATAAAGCCGAAAAAGTATCTGATTTAGAAATTGAAAATTTGAAATTACGTGAAACATTGGATGAATATAATCACGAATTTGCTGATGTAAAAAATCAAGGTAGTTTTTTCATTTGATTTTTTTTTTTTTTCTAGAAAAGAAAAAAGAAAAATTTTCAGTTATTTTAATGTCTTCTCTCTTCTTCTCTCTAATTATAGAAGTAACAATCAAACAATTACGAGAAAAGATCAAAGACTTCGAAGAAAAAACAGAATCAAATTTACAGGTATTTTTTTTCTTTTTTATTCTTTAATGATTTTTCATTTTTTGTATGTTCATCTTTGTACTAATTATGAATGTGTTTTTTTTTTTTAGCAACGTATTAAAGAAAAAGAAAAAGAATTTCAACGTACTTATGGTGATAAAGAACGTCAATTACAAAACCAACAATTTGATTTAGTTACAAAATATGGAGAAATGGAAATGCGTATATCACAATTACAGACAACATTGGAACAAGCACATCAAGAAATGTTTGAATATAAATCTAAACAAGAAGATTTGAGTAGTGCACGTTCATCTGAAATTGAAATACTTAATCAAGATTTAGAACGAGCAAACGATGTAAGTCATTATAAAAATTAAATTTTGTTTTTTTATACTACAATATCATTTTGGTTTGATAGCGTGCCTCAAATTCTGAACGTCTAGTTGAAAAATTACGTGAACAATTAGAACAGTTGAGTCAAACAAACGATTTAAATAATAAAAATTCTACAATTGAAGATGAAAATGATGAATATGAACGTTTAACAAAATCACGTATGCAACAATCAACATTAGAATTTGAATTAGCTTCGAAAGAACGTGAAATATCACAATTAGTTATTGATGCTCAAAAATTACAAGCAACATTAATTAAAGTTAAAGAAACTTCATTTTCACAAGTATGTTTTCTATTACTTATAATAATTTTTCATTCTTTATAAATATTTATTTTTCAATATCAAATAGATTTCTGATCTTGAATCATTGTTAAGTACGAAAGAGAAAACAATTACACATTTAGAAGAGAAATTACAAACACAATCAGATTATGATGAAATTAAACGTGAATTAAGGTTATGAATTGTTTTATGTTTGTTATAAAATAATAAATATTCTATTTTTATTTTGTAGTATATTAAAATCAATTGAATTTTCATCATCATCTTATCGTAATGATGAACAAAATAATGATCAAACAGTTACAATACCGAAAAAATCATTAGAAATATTATTGTTAGAGAAAAATCGAGCATTACAAAATGAAAATACACAAGTTAAAGTAGCACATCAAGATCTAGAAAGTAAGCATAAAAATGAATAACAAGGCTAACATATCATCAATCTTTTCTCGCATAATGCACTCACTATATACTGCCTATTGATATATACATGAATTAAATTTTATTTTGACATACACACTAACTTATGTTCAATTAACTCTTTTGCTTATTTACAATAAGCAAGAATTCTTATGCTATATAATCGTTCATATACCATATGTCTTATGTACTTGTCAATGATTTTATAAACGTAGACAGAATGACTCACTATACATGTATCAAACATTAAAGTTGTCTCAACAGTTTCTATAGAAGAAACTTTGTTGATTGAACGTTTAATATTTTGTTATTTACCTTTTAGGTAATAATTATCATCATTGTCATCACTGTTCTCATTGTCATAATTTACCTTCCGCTGTTGTACCGTCTTTAGTCCCTCCTATATCTATCTCTCATTCTTCATTGTATCTAACACCATCATCAACATCATCTGACATTCGTTCCTCTGCAGCAACAACAACGACAACAATGTATTCTAGTCTTGATTTGTCGTCTTTTATATCAAAAACAAAAGTAATTTCAAATGAAAGTGAAACTTCTCCCATACGTACTTTTAATATTGATCTTTCAAATATGCTTTGCAATAACAAAGATAGTAAATCGAATTCTGAGTCATTATTTAAAAAAGAGAATGAATCCGTGATATCAAATACATCTGCACTTTTATCACAAAAAGTTTGTCCACTTACTAATTTGACTACTAGTATTAATGATAATATAACACCAACTAATATACCATTAACCACTATTAATTCTCATAATCTAAATAAACTATCATGTACATCTTCATGCCAAAGTTCGAAACTATTCGATTCAAAGGATTTTTTACAATCCTATATTTCATTATCATCAAAATATCCCACAACGTGCTCGTGCTTGCCTTTAACGACACCAACTGCCTCCCTCTTATCAACAACAGCAACGACAATGTTGCCATTTGATTATTCATCATTAGCAACACCTCTTCAAGGTAGGTAACAAGAAGACATCTTCCTTGGATAGTTTTTCTTTTATTAAGCAAGCTTCTTTTTTTCGTTTTCGTTGATAATAGGTCAACAGCGATCCATGCTATCTCAAGATGTATCATCATCTTCATTAACTACTACACCATTTTCTTCGGTGTCTTTTTCAAAACTTCGTTGTCCAAGTCCAGTATGTTCCTCACCAACATTGATCGAACAACAAGCAATTGCAGCAACATTAACAAAAAAGATCATTAATGATATTGAACAAAATAAAACAGTAACTCGAACAGTAATAAAATCTAAATCCATTTCCGAAATCCCTACAACAACAGCAATAACAACCACAACAATTAGCACACCTAAACAGTCAATCATCCCTTTACCACAGACAGTAAATAATGGTGTTACAACTATTACTCCCACCGCCGCTAACAACAATAATAACTTAGAACCGTTGGATACAGGATTTGTAGCCAGTGCTGTTCGAAAATTATTAGCACAACATAATATCGGACAACGAATATTTGCTCGATACATATTAAGTTTATCACAAGGAACAGTTAGTGAATTATTATCGAAACCCAAAACATGGCAAAAACTCACGGAAAAAGGAAAAGAAAGTTATCGAAAAATGTGGTGTTGGGCTAATTCAGAAGAAAGTATATTAACATTAAAAAGTATTAGTCCAAGAAAAGGTACAATGAATCGTAAGTTTCAGCCAATTAAAAATATATTCTTGATTACGATTGTTTACTCTATATTGTTCTGTTTATGTATCACTAGGATCAAAAGATAATATTTATCATACTACCATTAAAGAAGAACGTGGAACAGAACAAAAGATTGTTCAAACATTGACGGATGCTCAGAAACAAATATCAAAGGTAAGCTAAGCAACATTTCTATGATTGATAGTATGTAAAATACCGAGTCTGTGCGGTCTTAGTCAAAGGGTAATACTAAATAGTTGCTGATATTCTGTTTATGTGTTTTATTCATGTAGGATCATTGTTTATTTCCACAGGAAAGGACAACATCCATTACAAGTACCCATGAGCTAGCGTTACATACTGATCATAATAAATGTCATTCATCTTCGTCGACCTCGTCACTAGACGATAATATCATTGACAAAACATCACAACAACCTCCGTCATTGCTAACGTCAAAAACATTTTTTTCACCATTATTGTTAAACAGAGTCAAAAATGAACCATCTATAAATGAAAATAATCAGTGTTCATCGTCTTCTATACCATCACTATTGGCACAACAACAACAACAACAAAAATTGACAATGTGTAATGATAATTATCGAAACTGGCTAATGTTAAACGAAATTGTACGTAACACCGATTTATTGAATCAATTAAATGGAATGAAAAATGATGAAAAAAAAATGGATGACGAGATGAATGATGAAAATGAAGATGAAGAAATACCAGCTGATAGAAAAGGAATCGAACAACCGTTAGATTTAAGTATGAAATTTAGTACAATGGATGATAAACTCGATGCACTATCATCAGCGTCTTCTTCAACAAACGATCTAAACTCGGATGATTTGTCCACTAATCAATCACTTATCACATCAAAATTATCGTTAAATTCGATTAAACCAGTTAAATCCATTTTGCCACCTATCCGTGAATATGACACAATGAAATATCGCTATATAAACACAAATGAATTAGTACAAACAATCAAAGATATATTAAGTCGATATAGCATATCTCAAAGACATTTTGGAGAAAAAATACTTGGCCTATCACAAGGCAGTGTGAGGTAAATTATTATACTTGTTAATATCACTAGAAATGAGCATCACTATTTCTTGCATCTTTTCAGTGATATATTGGCTAGACCAAAACAATGGGAATTATTAACACAAAAAGGACGTGAACCATTTTTGCGAATGAAATTATTTTTGGACGATAAACAAGCAGTTGAACAATTAATACAAAATATTCCAGCAACATTGACAACGACTACTCCCACTGTTACAGTCACAAATACGAATGCCATAAAAGCAATTACTAATCCATCATTACTGCGAACTGCAGTTAACATCAGTAATGGACATCATCCATCATTAACAAGAACAAATTCAACAGGTGAGACATGAATACTGTTTTGAACCTTATATTTAAAATAAAATATATAAATATTTTTTAGATTCTCAACCTTGTTCAGTTAAAAGTGAAACAGTAACAACAGTAGATACGATAAACGGTAATGATAATAGTAATTTATCTGTAATGAAACAGAATCGTTATCAAGGTAACAGGTACCATTCTTCTCGAACAAAACCATCTCGTATTACGAATAACAGAAAACATTCATTATCACATAATAATTTATCTACACCAGTATTGGCACCGTACGAATTACCAAAAGTACCTATACCAAGTAAGCCGTTTACTTTGCATGTGACAGGATGATACTTCGTTGCAATTTTCATTGTTTCTACTCTTTTACTTTAGCTGTTATTGATACCGAACAATTAAGTTCACAAGTACGTGAATTATTATTTGCCTATAGTATTGGACAACGAGTATTTGGCGAGGCTGTTTTAAATTTGTCACAAGGAACAGTTAGTGAAATATTGTCAAAACCGCGTCCATGGCATTCATTAAGTGTAAAAGGTAGTAAATAGTACTTGTTCCGCTAGTCATTTCATTTTAAGTGCTTTTCTTTATTAAGGACGAGAACCCTATATGAGAATGTATACATGGTATAATGATATCGGTAATGTTCACAAATTATTAGCATGGAAACGAGAAAGAGATGGTAAATAGTTCGAATTTAAGCGTCGATGATTTAAAAAAATGGGTGTTTTAATTTTTAGTATTAAGGCGAAATTATCCCGAAGGTGATTATGAAGGTAGTCGTCCAAAACGTCGTTGTCTATTTACAGAAGAACAGCGTCGAATACTAAAACAAATATTTGAAAAAGAACCTTATCCAAGTCAACAAACATTAGAACAAGTTGTTAATGAATTAAATTTACCAATGAATAAAATAGCCAATTGGTTCCATAACTCAAGAATGCGTGCTAAAACATCTAGGCGATCATCAACAACAGCGACTGATGTTATTGACGGCGGTTGTGGTAGTGAGAGTAATACAGATGGTTTAGTAACAAATTCAATTGATGACACATCTCGATCATCATCGAAAGATAACAATCATCAACATGAAGATGATGATAATCAACTACAACAGGATAATTCAGATGAAAGTGATGATGAAAGCGATCTAGAAAATGAAACAGATGAATATCCAATGCCAACATTTGTACCTGTAACAAGGTAATTGATCTCATATGGTAAAATAATAAATTTTCTAATTTTTATATTGTATGTTTAGTACGTGGCTAAATGGTAGTAATGATGCCGATGGTTCATGTCCAACTCCTAAAATAGATCATATCCGATTTAATCCTCGCCGTTATCAATATTTAACTTTAAATCATGATAATCCAACAATAGCAACAACCAATATTGTTTCATTAATTAGTGATATAAAAACATCATCATTACCAACAACAAGTACGAGTAGTAGTAAAAAACGTAAATCTATACCACAAAAGATTATTGTTAAAAAATTTGATAATACGTCAATTACAAATGAGAATGAAGAAGATAGCAACATTAGACGAACGTTAGATAAAAAAAAAGAAAGTTTTATTAATAATGATACAGAAAATTGTATGAAAAAAACGTGTACTGATATTAATACGCAAGAGCAACAACCGTCCATTTATCAAGTGTCAATAAATGACTCGTCAGGAGAACAACAAGGAAGTGAAAATGAAAGCGGCAGCAATCATGACGAATCATCAATTGTCGATGTTGTATCATAGCAATCCTTTTTCTCTTTTTCTGTGTATTGGTGATATGAAACAAAACATGGTGATTTTTTTCTAATATTTTTATGTGGTTTTATTCTATTTTCTGTCTCTTTTAGCATTTACTTACTGTAAGTTAATCCCACTTGTCAGAAAAAAGTCTCTACCTCTTTGCAAGTGTGTATATGATGAGAGTGCTTAATTATAGCCTTCTCCTCATGAATGAACTTATTTTTTGTGTGAAACAACTAGAATATTACACATTCTCTTTTTTGTACGTGTGAATGATATCTGTTTGCTCAAAATTATATTTGTTTTTGTAACTAAACTAGTCGTTTATCAGCAGTGGAAGCTTTAAGTGCATTATTATATCAGTGATATTATACAAATTTATTGTTCTCTTGTTTTTTTCTTGCTGTCATTTATTGGATTTTTCCGATACAAATTGCCTTACTCTTTATTTGTATTCTATATATTCTTACTTATTAAGGAAGATTTTTTCCTCATTCTGAATGACGATTTATGAATGATTTGCTTCTTTTATAAACATTTTGTTGTCATTGTTGTATCGTAGAATGTTCGATTCGATTTTTAGAAAAGAAAAGTATTCTAAATTTGTGTGCGTGTGTATATCCTTGATGTTCTGTTTCTTCGTCGTTGTCTTTTTTTTTCAAGCTTTTGTTTTTCACGTAACAAAACAGAATAAAAGAGCCGTTTTTTTGTGCTTACAAAAATGAAAGATTCAAACATATAGGCAAGGGTTGCCATATAGCAGCTAAAATATAAACATTTTTACCGAATTTTTTTCTGTGAAGATTTGGATAAAGAGTCATCACAATAGAGTTTTCTTTTCATTAGCAATTGCACCCTGTTCATATATTCTTCTCTAGAGGCCTATATGATTTCATCATCAGATAATGATACCCTCGTCAAATTCTACCCGATTTCACAGGTTAACTATGCGTCTTACTTGAACTGGAAAATTATCAGCAAAGGCACCATGTCACATTAGACTACTTTTATGTTTATCTACAGAGACGACGAATTCTCCATTATCAGCAGATGTCTAATAGTTCTGGTTCTCTCGTCCCAATACTTTTATGATATTTTTCGGTAAAGTATATCTCCTACCTCGTTCAACGATCCCAGTATAATACATCTGAAGTAGAAAAGTTACTATAGCATTCTATAACACTGTTACATTCTTCAGTTTTTTGTATTAATCAGACTAGACCAGTATAATGGCCAAAAAAAGCAGGAATTGAATAAACACCGTGATATCTTTCTCTCATCGCTTCTTAAAAGAAAGTACTGAGCAAGAGACGTTACAGATGTTAATGATACTAAAGTATTAAATAGCCTCGATCATAATGTCGAAAGTGTATGACCTTTCTTGTTAGAAAAACTAATATTGAAACTCATTGAATTTTGTTTTGCATTGACATTAGGGTAGCGAACTGGTGAGATTTAACTTTCTCTAAAAAATCCGTTTCATTCTAGGATTTGTGAATAGTTAATTATCTTTTTCACTCCATGTTAATGAACTTGAATGTTTCATTTTGTTAAACGAGTCGACGTATAGTTAGTAAAAAATCAGTTTATTACTTGAGCATGTCTAACTTTAGTTAATTCAACTATCATTCTAACAGTTATATTTGTTCTATTTCATCTTCTGCAAATGATAATATACAGGTTTATAATGTTCTTTCAAAGCCTTGTATTTGTCTTTCAAACATCCATGTGAAATTGTGTTTATTTTTGTTTTGATTGTATTTTTTTTAAACATTTTTCTGTGATAATAGTTTTTACACATTTTTTTGTATCCTTGGTTAATATATAACGAGCTTAGAAAATTAAATCTTCATTTTGTTTTCTATTTCTATTACAGGTTTAATACAAAACAAGCACGAGCACGAGCAAAAAAAATAACATATAAATTTATTTCTACCTCTTTCTTCTTCCTTTTTGTTTTTCCTAAATTTTTCAATCAACTAAACAAATACGCTCTACTTTTTCGTTTAGAACGATATCATGAATTAGATAAACGTACTCGCGATCTTGAACATTCTAATAATGAACTAAAACAATTGAATAGTCAATTAGAAAAAGATATTCTCAGTTTTGGTGGCGTTAGCGATTTATTTCGTCGAAGTCCAGAAGTAATATATTTTCATATTCCACTATGAAATACATAAAATAAAATAAATTCTTTTCTTTATAGGGACAAACAAGTGATCATAGTGAAAAAGAAATAATTAATGATGTTCTCAATAATTCACCAACAGAAATCAATGGTATAGTTACATTCCTTCCTTTTCATGTTGTTATTTATCTAAGACAAAATAACTATGCCTGTTTTAATTTTAATGTACTACTCCAACGTCATTTCTTTATTTTTACATACTGTCATTATTCATTTTAAAAACTTATAAAAAGCAACTAAAAATCATATAAGAAGCTAATAAGTACTAGATAGAATTTTGTTTAAGAAAGGTAGCATTTATTCATTTAGTTAAATATCTACTTTTTTCTCATATTCAGTTAAACATTTCGCTCCAAAAACGAAGCAATCAACATCATCATCATCTGATGAGACTCTGACAGCTATTGTTATCAGTCAACGAGAAAGATTTCGTATAAGAAATATTGAATTAGAAGGGGTAATAATTGATCACTTTTTCTATGAAATAAAATAGGTGAATCATTTTGTTATTATTATTTCAGGAAAATGTTTCGTTAAAACAACAAATTGGTCTATTTCAAAATGAAGTTGATCAACTAAGATCTGATAATATTAAATTATATGAAAAAATAAAATTTGTTCAAAGTTATCCTGTATGCATTAGAGAAATACTTTTTGTTTTTTTCTCTGTTTTTCTAATATATTATTCTTTTGTGGAAATATTTTTAAGCGAGCACGTGGCGCAGATGAATCGGTTGATAAATATTCAGGTGGTTATGAAGCACAACTTGATCCATTTACAAGATTTACAAAAAATGTGAGTAAAAACTATCTTTTTTGCTATGCATACCATGTAATATTCATATTTATTCAGGCACAACAGAAGAAATATGAATCGTTAAAATTACACGAAAAATTTGCATTGAATTTCGGTCATTTCATTTTATCAAGTCATCAAAGTCGAACGTTTTTTGTAATCTATTTTATTCTTGTACATGTGCTCATATTTTTGGTGAGTGTGTAAAGAATTTAACTAGTATTTTTTACTATTATCGATCTATTTTTATTTTAGTCTTTGTACAGAATTGTTCATGTCGGCTCATCTGTTAGAGATTTGTCTCAAGAATGTTTTGATAAGTATGTACATCCGCTGAAAATATTTCTTATGTTTATTGGTCTTCTTTGTTTCTTTTCAAGATTTCGAGATCATATGGCTGGTGTTCACGGGCAAAAAGATTTTCAAATAGATCCAGCACATCGACATTAAGTGATCAAGTTATTCTAATTTATTGTGTATTTAATTATTTATCGGACATAATTCATACCTTCTTTGTTTCATATTTTACTAATAGTTCGTAACACTAACAATATCTGTATTTTTTGATATTTTAAACTATATTTGTTTGAACTGAATAAATTTTTGTTTTACGACCGCTTTTTCGTTACAGAAAAGCTCAACCCTGGGAAACGTTAACTGACCTTTACTACGCTCGCATTACTCCAGACTGGCTTTCTGTAACTTTTCTCTCAACAGAGTTCAGAATATATATGAGTCATACTCATAGAGAAATTATGACAATGAATTTATCTTTTCTCTGGTTAAGCGTGAGGACGACAATTCGTAAGTGGATAGGTGATTATTTCGATGACGTCTGGCTATTCTCAAGTGTGTTGAGAGAAAGGTTACAGAAAGACAATCTGGAGGACTGCGCGCGTAGTAAGGGTCAGTTCAAGTTTCCAAGAGTTAAGCTTTTCTGTAGCGAAAAAGCGGTTGTAAAATAAAAGTTTATCTGTATTTTTGTTCGGAAAAATATTAATTTTTTGTTTTACATCAATAAAATGGTCCAATAAGAAGAAAAGCGTATTTCAACGTTATGTAGTGCTATACCATGGCAATGTACATATAAATATGACTCTCTCAATTTCAATACCTTGTTCGAGAATGTCATTGTAGATTGTTCCCGTTTCGAAAAATTTTGAAATTTTATACATACATTGAACGACCGTACGCATACATTTGTGAGTTTAAATGGTATATCAATCAATTCCTATATACTTGTCTGCCAATTTTTTACGTTTAATTTTAAATAATCGGCATTAAAATAAATACAATTCACTCTTCGGCTTGTCCACGTAGCGGTACACTTCGCTGATCAAGTTTTTGAAAAATTTTTTTCGATATCGAAAGTTTTGAACACATGATTAGATGCAGTTTTTTATTCTAAGAACCCGTTTGAAACTCGTTTTTCAAAAAAGTTCATTTTTCATCCCAAAAACCTGGTTTTGAACTTTTCAGAAACCGGTTTAACCAAAAACATTTTTTAAAACAAATTTCTAAAAATATGCTTTTGAGTTTATTTGCTATGTACAATTTGTACATAGTTGTACAGTTCGGTGATTCGGTCTTCAGTGGCGGGCACCCATCCACTTACGAATTGTCGTCCTCACGCTTAACCAAAGAAAAGATAAATTCATTGTCATAATTTCTCTATGAGTATGACTCATATATATTCTGAACTCTGTTGAGAGAAAAGTTACAGAAAGCCAGTCTGGAGTAATGCGAGCGTAGTAAAGGTCAGTTAACGTTTCCCAGGGTTGAGCTTTTCTGTAACGAAAAAGCGGTCGTAAAACAAAAATTTATTCAGTTCAAACAAATATAGTTTAAAATATCAAAAAATATAATATGTATTACCAAGAAGGTGAAAATTCTCATGGTGGCGTTGTAGTACTTATAAGCCAGAATATACGAGCATGTCGTATACCTTGTGATATACCTATGTATGCGTTATTGATCTATATTTTGATGAGACTATTCGACTGATCGGAATGTATGCACCAGAAAGTTGGACTTGGGATGACCTTTCGAACCTGATTACAACTAGATGTGTATTAGTTGGGGATTTCAATATCTATCTAGAAGAGGACGTAGACAAAGCGCAACGACTATTAGCATGGGCTGACAGTCGTTTTCTGACTCCTATCACACCTTCATCTCTTAGATCAAATCGTGAAATAGACTATGCGTTGGTGACAGGAGTTCAAGCAGCGATTCAAGCATATGAAGGGAATACAACAAGTGATTACAAACCGATCTTTTACGTTCTCGTTTGTGAAGACACAAAGAAAACGACTGTCAGCTTAACTTTTTGGGAAGTGTTCTACTTCTTTCTTTCATATACACATTCGTTTTGGGAAGTACAGTGGACCCAAAAGAGTTACAATGAAACATATGGCTTTTTTAATCAGTTTCTAGGATTACTAGTGGCACGATGTACCCAAACTTTTCCCTCTCGAGATGGCTCGACCCGCAATTCCACCTGAACGGCTAAACTTTCTTATAGCCGTGCTCTTTGGTTCAGAGCAAAGAAAACTGGAGATATGAAGTTAAGAAACGAATCGGCACGAGTTCGTAATCTCGTAAAGCAAAGTTAAAGATGTCTCAACAGAATCAATTAGCCAAGCAGTTAGAGGCGAGACACAAATCGGGTCAAGGCTCGATGATGTTCTGGAGTAAGACTAAAAAACATTTCCAAAATTCGTCGGCTTCTATAAGAGGTTTTACTATATCGAACGGAGCAACCGAAATAGATCCAGCGAAAATGACCGAACTAGCAGTTGAAGATTACGAGAAACTCTTTGGAGAACCAGTTGTCTACATCCCTCATCCGTATGTTGATATACCCTATGATAAACAAGACGATAGTAAAAAATAGATACCATTGGTAACATATCCGGAAGTATTACAAGTCTTGAAAAGAAGAAAGAAAAAGCGTTCATATGACATGGTCTATCTCCTTTCATCCTGGATAAAATGCCGGACAACTACTGACATTTTATAGTGGATATGTACAATCATTGTTTTCGAACTTGTGATATCGCAGATAAATTCAAAGAGGTGCGAATGATATTATTGGCGAAAAAGGAAGCTATATGTAGGCCCAATCAGACGAGACCTATATCGTTAATTGACAGTTTTTTCAAAGTACAAGAGCGTTTATTCGTGAATCGATTCTTGGAAATAGTCAAAAACAAAGGAATTCTTCCAGACTCTCAATCAGGTTTTATTGCTGGACGACGTTTTCAGACACGGGTCCTCTTACTCATTGAACAGATATCATCATATGTCAGACAGTTCGCCGGTAGCAACTATTTTCGTCGATTACAAGTCGGCTTTTGATCAGTTATGGTTTTTAGGGTGTGTGGGCAAACTCAGAAAGGAAGGAATACCCGATTCATATGTTAATTGGATATATGCATGGTTGATTAATAGGCGTGCTGTTGTCGAAATCTGGCGAGCGATTTAGATGGTTCACGATAAAGAGAGGAGATCCAAGGATCTAGCTTTACCGCAACCCTTTTTATAACGTACTATGCCGACATGGAATATTTTATCCCAACAGCTATGTCCTTTCTTTTCGCCGATGACTTAGCCGCTGTTCTAGCTGGTCAGATTGGTATTAAGTTTACTCAGCAGTGTTTGAACCTCGAGAAAAGATTGCGTTCCTTTTCTGAGGATCTACAATTCTGTGTAGTTCTTACAGTACAACCGATTAATTGCATTAAGACTCAAGCCATGTTCTCGGCGAAAACAATTAATTACCCTAACCCTATGCCAGAAATAAAATGTGATGGTAATGAGATAGAATGGGTCAAATTGTTCAAATATCTAGGACATATACTGGTTACCAAATTAGGTTGAGGACAGCTAATAAATCCTATTTGCAAGAAAATACGTCAACAAACAGCAATGGTAAATTCCATTCGATTTTGTGGTATAACATCAATATCCCTAAGAAGAGCCCTCTCAGTGTTTGTAATGCCACATTTTAAATGGTTATTTGTCCTACATCCATTGTTCACATCCTCTCAGCGCGAGATACTGAGTCACTTTTATTACTCATCGTTAAAGAGAGTTTATCGTTGCTTATAATGGGAAGATCTTTATTTTTCTTATGATTATGATGAGAAATCACTGAAAGATCATTGTTATAATTATTGGAGGAAGTATTTCGCTGCTTTGGCGGACTCGAATGATGGAAGATTATTAGATCAATAATCAGTCACGAATATTCATCGGCAAATATGGCAAGAAGGAGAAGAACCAATCAAATGCCTGCGGCGATCAAAGCGATTTGTTGGACATAAAGATGTGCTAATTCAATGCATAGAGTGGTCATCAAACCATGGTTTTCAAGATTCTATTCCAGACTATGATCCAGAGGAGATTAGGTGTCTGGCAGAATTTCCTCTCACTTTCTAAAGTATAGTAGCATCTTCTTTTTTTATTTTACTTTTTCTCTACTCTTTGACTTTTTTGTTACTTTAACTTTACATTATTTGAAAATATATTGTGATCTGTTGTTCCTTCAGGACTGGAAGGTTACGAACTGAACGCTTTAGGATATAGACTGGAGACAACAAAGAATAAAATGGCTTATTTGATGGTCCCCCAAGCTATTTTTGACTACGTTTTTCTCATTTTTGTTCACCCCAATGCACATATATAGGAAAGATGTAGATCTTTGAAATTCCGGGTTTTCCAGAAGATCTATCAACTGCAAAGTAGATCGAAAAATTTTTTTAAACATACCATAAGACAGAACGTTCATTTCTTTACAAAATGAGATATTTTCCACATTTACATTGCTTAGCCAAATGGAATCGCATCAAAAATTCGAAAAGAGCGCATTAACCGCTTGGAGATGCGTGATTACACTGATGTTGTTGTACAACAATTCTGTATTGACTCCAACTCGGTTATTTTTTAACTTAAAAACGTACAAAATACGTCATTTTGTAAGAAATGAACGTTCTGTCTTACAGTATGTTTAAAAATTTGTTTCGATGTACAGTTGGTATACCTTTTGGAAAACCCGGAATTTCAAAGACCTATATCTCGGAAACCGGAGATAACGTATTGCGATCTCAGTGGATTCATATATTTCAAAATGTGTAGAGTCCGAAAATGTACTCTGGAGTGAACAAAAACGGGAAAAACTTAGTTAAAAATAGCTTGGGGCACCATCAAAAATCAAATAAGTGCCGTAATGTTTATGAAAGATGCTAGGGGGAAAAGGCGACTCGTGAAGCTTTCCGGAGCTTGAGATGCTTGGCATCGGATGCTCTCCGATGCTAAGAAAGAAAAAGTCGCCTTTTCCCCCTTGGAAAGGTGGCTCTCAGCAGACTTACAAGAGCGATGTGAACAATTAAAAACTATATTTCTAAATAGAACCCAGTACGAGGAATGTGATACATATATTACTTTTGAGTTTAGAGTTCGAGTTGATCGTGAAAAATGCATTTTAATATCGCGGATTTTCATGATTTTCACCGAACAATTTTAGAACAATTGCAGTAGAGCAATGAAGCATTTCGAAGGTTTTTAAATGAGTCTTTTTATTCTTTGTTGTCTCTAGTCTATATCCTAAAGCGTTCAGGTTGTCACTTTTGTCATTTCTGAGATAATTAGGTATGAGTGGCGTCTTGGAACCTATAAATTCCCAAATGTCGAACCTCTGCAGAACCCCATACCGATGTTTTAAAATTTTTTAAATGGCGCATTCTTACTCAGACTTAATTGCTCTTTCAAATGAGATATGTCGCGATTTTTGCGGCAAACCTTCATGCAAAGTGTGGGACAGCACCGAAAGAATTACCCCCCATTAGTTTAGGAAAAATTTGAAAACAATATTATTTTCCCATGGAAGTTTTTTTTCGCCATTTTGTTTGAAAATTTTTTCTAAACTTTTGACAGTTCTCCTTGCCAAAAATAAAAAATCTACTGGGTTATCGAGTGTGCTGAATACGAAAAAGCACTTTTTCGCGACTCTAAATAAACTTCAGTTTTTTCTTTACGTTGGTTGATAGGAGTGTCGATTACATGTGTCACGGATAAAAATAGAAGAAACAGTTTTCGCTTCAGTGACTTTAGATGATTACCTACGTGGTCAGCATGTATATTTTGTTTCTTTCTACTATCGACCAGTTATAGATGCGACTTTTTCGTAGACGTCAAAAACACAAACATGTTGAACATGATGAACATGTTGAACAACCAATAGTATACAAACTGCCTAATAGTTTTTTCGATGCTGTAAATGTTGCTCGAGATAAAAACGGTGATGAACGACTTCCTCTGTTTGGATCATCATCTTCATCGAAAGGAAATCAATGGCAGGAAAAGACTGATTTTCAACATCATTCGCCACGAGTTGGGTCACCAGCAAATTTGTTGAAAACTCGTACTCGCTCAGCGTCTCGTCATCGTGACAAAATGCAGCAATCGCCAAATGATTTTCATAAAATATTAGACTCACCACGACACTTTCGTACAGGAGAAAACATCAACGGAGAGCAATTACAAAAAATTCCATTTCGTCGCCATAGAGCAGGACCACGGCATGCATTCTTACATCATGATTCGGCATCTGCATTAGGAGAAGATCCTATGTTTTCATATGGAAATAATATGCCTTTTTTTCCATTTTCACCACCAATTTCTGCTCAACTGATGCAGCGACAGGGAATGTTTAACCCTATTATGAATTTTCATTATGACTCTTCAAGGATGATGAATCAATTTCAACACAATCCAATGACGTTCAACCAATTTCAGCAAAATCCATTAATTATGCAAGGCTTTCGATTTGGTTATTAATTCTGGCTTTATTTCAATCAGGAGTGTACTTTTGTATATTCAGAAAACGCTCGTGTCGAGCACCTGTTAACATTTTTTCTATTCCAAGTCCGTTTTATTTTGTAAAAAAACAGAAAAATAGCTAATTTTGTATAAATACCTTCCTATTAATGAATAGGTTCATATATATATCATTTCATTTAAACAAGCAGAGGAATTTCGTGAGAATTTTAATATTTTGCTAATTTTCTGAATTTTTTGTTAGCATTTCGGTACGTCAGTACTTTGTTCAAGTGAGGGTTGAGACTGTTCTCTAGTGAATGTACTTGCATGCAAGTACATAAAACGTTACTCATATAAACGTGACTGTATAAGGAGTGTAATCATTCGTGTTATTTCCATTTGCTCAACTATTATCAGATAAACTCGACCAAATCTGACCAGTACTCGCCAAAATGAAGGTTTACTATAAACCTAAAAAATTATAGAGAATTTCAACCATTTCTACACTCTTTAGGTTTCGTATGATATCTGAGACCCACCATTCGACTACAAGAGTCACTAAGTGCTTGGAAAGATAAATGGTTTCGTAAGGGCACTTTGAAAAAAATAAAAATTCGTATGAAAAAATTTTTATGCTAAATCTTTTGGATGTTTTAGTAAAAGTAATCCGGAATCTTTTCGGGAAGAAGTTATTCTTCGGGTTTCGTACGCTACCTCTATTCGTCAACAGCCTGCAAGCCCGTATTTCATAAAAGGTTTATTGCAAAAACACGAAAAACTAAAGGTTTGATAGTAATCCTGTTTTTAGGGAGTACAAACCTTGAGCTATAGATATTAGTCGCCAATCTGGTGCCGAGCACACATCATGCTTGCAAGCACTTGATGCTGTTTAAAAAAAATCAAGTACTTGTCCAAGTACAGGAAACACTTCACAAGTATTTATTTACTTGCATATTTTCGCAAGTACTTGCACAAGTACTTATCAAGTAGTATTTTTGCTGTAATGTATGTCAAGTACTTGTCAAGTACCCGCAGAAATTTGCAAGTAAGCAAGTATCCGCTCGCAAGTATATTCATTAGGGTTCTTCGCTGATCCTTTCTGTATAGCTCTATCCAAGAAAATTTTCAAAAATTAGTATTACTCTATGTGCATTGACAAAACAAAAGGATGGATGGGAACTGTAGAAGAATCCTGCAAAATTTTTTTATTTTTTCTGGAATCTTAAAGTTTACAAAATTCTCTCCTTGTCGCAAAAAAAATTTTCCGAAAATCTCACATGATTTCTCTTCATTTTAGGGATTTCCGCGGGGATTCATATGGGAGTTTCAACTCGAGCAACGAAGAAACAGGGGATCTATTCAATAAAAATAATATGGTCCAAGTCATCTTATATCAGTTATAACCTAGAATAGAGGTGGTTAGTTGAGAGCGTCAACGTTCATTTCTATAAACGATGTTGATGGTGTTGATACTAGCAAATTAGCAACTAAGTATTCATAAACTCAACATACCATCAATAGAAAAATAAACTTCATTCAGAGTCGTGAAAAAGTGCTTTTTCATATTCAGCACACTCGATAACTCAGTAGATTTTCTATTTCTGGCAAGAAGTACTGTCAAAAGTTTAGGAAAATTTTGAAAACAATATTATTTTCGCATGGAAATTTTTTTTCGCCATTTTATTTGAAAATTTTTCCTAAACTTTTGACAGTTCTCCTTGCCAAAAATAGAAAATCTAGTGCGTTATCGAGTGTGCTGAATACGAAAAAGCACTTTTTCGCGACTATAGATAAACTTTCTATCAATATAACTGAGAGTTTTCTTTTTAAGTTATTTTTAATCACAGTTTTAGGTGTTGAGAGTACTGTTAACCAAATGCAAAGCTCAGAAAGAAGAGCTAAATTCGCATAGGTCTTCTCTAAAGAAGGATTTTTAAAAGAGGTCGTTAATGTTCAATGGTACTGATGGCATTTTGTTTGGTCATGTCGAGAAATCAACGCTGACTTAAACTGACTCTATTATTTTACAATCAGTTGAGAGATTCCTTGTCGCAGTTATTTTTTAAAAGAAGAGGTTCTCGTCATCAACATTTTCGAATAGTTATTGGTTTAAAATCCTTCTTCTACTGACGAGTAAATGAGCGTCCCCATACTGCTGCTGATTTTTTTATTCTATTAGCTTGAAAATTCCTTTAATTCATCAGTCTGTCGTAACTTTAAAGATGTAATTTGAAACGTTCAAATGCGGAAGAGAAGACAGTATGACTGTGAAGAAGTTTCGAAATTTCGAGTGCTTTTTTTCCACTTCGTGAAAATCCTCTCTTCCCTCTTGTCTGAATATTAATATTTAAATAGCCGAGTAGCATGACTTCAAATAATAAGCGCGATTTAACTAACACAAAAATTCGCCGTTCGAATAGTCACGATTCAATTGTCGATACCTTACATCCTACTTCAAGAATTTTACATTCAAAATCGTCGAACAAAGCCACTAGTGGAAGTTTTGAAATCAAAGATGATTCGTCTATATCATCGTCAAACGAGAACATATCAATGTCAAATGTAGCACATTCTGCTTTACAACATTCACAAGGAGCAATGTCGGTATGCTCACTTATGTTTGTTTTTGTTGTTGCAGTTTGAAGAGCTATCGAAAGAGCACTTTTAACTCCAGATGCTTGCCACTTTACTCATGGCAACAAAACCATTGTATGTTTATTTAAAAGTAACTGAGAAATTTTTTTTGGTATTGCAATCATTTATATGCAATAAATTTTCATATTAGTTTCAAGGGCCTACTTCCATTCTATCCAATTGCTTGTGTTATGTTGCGCTTTTCTTTCTTTGTCTTTATTTTCCATGAGAGTGTACAGAAGTCTTCTTTGTATTCAGAATCAGTCAGGAAAAATATATCGACATTCACAACCTGAACCACACGCGATTAAGCATACATATGAATTACGGTTACCTATCAAACTTCTGAAAGGTGAAGAAGAAATAAAGTTACGCGAAGGTAATTTGGAAAGGTGGATCTATTGTTTCTTTTACTGTGTGTTATTTTTATTAGACGTTTCGTATAGAATAAATAGTCGAACAACTTATCGTGGTGAACTGGTTTTAACAAAATTTCGACTAATATTTGCGACAAAAGTATCCGATAAAATACAGGTATGTAGGACATAACAGAGTTCATTAGATCTTATTTATCCTTTTTGTTTAGGTGTTAGTCGATGTACCACTTGGAATGATTAGTCAGATAGAAAGGATTGGTGGACAAGTACGAAGTAATATTGATGATGTGTCTTATGGAATTGAAATTAATTGCAAAGTATAAAATTTTTATAATTCTAATATGTATTTATTCAGTTTGTGTTTTTTTTCAGGACTTTCGATGCTATTTTTTTGATAATACGAAAGGACAAAATCAACGACGAAATTTACTTGATCAATTAACACGTCTAATATTTCCAATATCAACCAATAAAATAGACCTAACAAGTCCTATTCAATTTTTTAGTGTAAGATTATTCTCCGTCTACTCTTACCGTTCAGTTATCTAACTTTTTTTTGTTGTTTACAGTTATTTTTTGCGTCAGATTATAAGAAGAAAATGTGTCCAAATGTTATTGATGAAGGATGGATCTTGTATAATAAAATGAAAGATTACACAAGAATGGTAAGCGTTTTTATTTCTCTACGAGTATAGAAAAACAAATCATGCCAAGAGAAGTTGCTGCTTAGCCAATTTTCATCTGAGACCTTTTTTAATGCTGTTTTACTTTTTGGTTTAGAATGAACCAATTGAGAAACTTATTCAGTAAGAAAAGCCTTTTCTGACTAACCATGTGATCAATAATTTGTTTCTCTGATCGTACGAGTGCAATTCTTCTTCTTTAAAAGGGTGATGTTTTTCTAACAACTAAGAAGTAATCGACTTTGACGTTCGATTAAGATATAAAGTTTTTGTGGTTAGCCGTGCTATTTAGGTAAGATAAATGTAAGAAATACAAATTTTACTCACTCCGAATTTAGCCTAGCCTTCTTGAATATGCATTTGTTACGTGAGTTATCATTGAAATTTATACAAAGATTTATCTGAACTTCAAGCATAATTTATTAAGCGACTTATTTTTATTTAAATAATTCACATTTTTCTTACTAATCACACCTAACTACACGGGTTTGTTTGCCAGTTTCTTCTAGTTAAAGGTTTGTGCAAAAGTATGTTAAGTTTTCCTTTATTTACTAATATAAAAAACAAAAAATACAATTTTAGCAATTAATTCTGTCTGTTAATCATTTTATATCTTTCTTTGTACAAGGATCAATTGCTAAAGAGTAGCATCATAAATATTCCATGATATTGTAAAATGTCATCCTGTCCTAAGACGGATAATATGGGTTGTTTCATCATTAAACTGGTACCACCTTACCATTCATATGCATGAATGGATAGCGACAGACCCATTCATATTGTTGATTGAGTCGATGTTCCTTATGATGTATGCATTTTATTGTTGTTTTTGTCTAAAACGAACGTGTCTCACTTAAGAGACAACAAGTGACTTGTTTCAAGTACTGTTAAACATATAATTGAAAAAGGACAAATTTCACATTGAGTAGTCTTTTCAAGTAGCGAACACCACGAATACTGTAGAGAAGCTCAACAGCTCTGAAACTTCAAGTGTGCGCGTCAAAAAGCGAAATTTCTTCAATCTATGGATTCATGACATACTTTAGACTATCCATCTATAAAAAATTTCCGGATTTTATTTGATTTAAATAGGGTATTCAGCAAAATTGTGACCCACATTGGACAATCAATGCTGATATTAATAAAGGCTATGCATTATGTGACACGTACCCTGATATACTAGTTCTTCCGTCCAATTTTGATACATCTCGATTGTCACGTGTGTCGGAATTTCGTAGTCGAGCACGAATACCGGTAGTTATTGATTAATTCTATTTTTATCTTGTTGCTTATTACTAGTTGTATGTTTGTTTTCCTCTGCTTGAAGGTGCTTAGTTGGTATAGTCGAGAAACATACGCAACAATAACACGTTCTAGTCAACCATTAACTGGTTTGTCGAATAAAACATGTGAAGATGATATTGATTTATTACGTAAAGTAGCCGATGCCAATGTAAATCAAGGACCAAAATTATTAATATTAGATGCTCGTCCAAAAATGCATGCTATGGCAAATATGGCCAATGGTGGTGGTTATGAAGATTATCCAAATTGTGAATTAGAATTTCATAATATTCAGAGTATCCATGTTATGCGCGAAAGGTTCGTCGTGCATAATCGATTAGTTATTTAGTTAGTTAGTCATAGACATTATTATTCTTTCTTTTAGTTTGAGAAAATTACAAGCTAGTTTACGTGCAGTCGCATATGATGATAAAACATGGTTTAGCGATTTGGAAAATTCAAACTGGCTATTTCATATAAGGGTATTAATCGAAAGATAGACTTCTTACTTCGATAGTTTTTCATCCCATGTTTCAATATTTAAGGCAATATTAACTGGTGCCTTTAGGCTTGTATCGTTAGTTTACAATGAGAAACGTTCGGTGCTTGTTCACTGTAGCGATGGCGGGGATCGAACTGCACAAGTAAGAAGAAAAGTTTATCTTTGATGTTCTAGCCATCTCTATGACGAGTAACTTGTTTGATATTGTTAAATTCTTTTAAATGTCATTAGAGAGTTTCGTTTCTTTTTCAGTAGTTATAGATCAAGCATTTACCGGAAAAAGAGGTGGATTGTTTTATTCATATTTCTGTTTTTTAGTTAACATCATTATCCATGCTTATGCTTGATGGTCACTATCGTACATTAAACGGCTATATGATTTTGATAGAAAAAGAGTGGCTCAGTTTCGGACATAAATTCTTTCTGGTAGGATTGATTTGAAACGATTAGTATTTTCAAAATTCATGCCATGCAAGACAACTATAACGTGTTACTTCTCCCTTTACAGCGTATTGGTCATGGTGACAAAAGTGATTCTGAACGATCACCAGTATTTTTACAGTTTTTGGATTGTACATTTCAATTACTTCAACAAGTAAATACTGCAGTTATGAAGTGCAGTAGTGTATATTTTCCTATGTCTTTATGTTTAGTTTCCATCCGCATTTGAGTTTAATGAAAAACTTTTAATTACTATAGCTGATAATCTGTATTCGTGCCAATATGGAACGTTTTTACTCAATTCAGAAAAACTCAGAACAGAAATGAAAGTAAGCATTCTATTCTTGTTTAAAATAACAGCGCTTGACATTCTTTTTAACATTTATTTTAGGTTTCTGAACATACAATGTCGTTATGGACACATGTATTGCGTGAGAGATCACTGTATTTGAATCCATTTTATAATGATAAAATCGAGAAAGTACTTTTGCCGAATAATGCTATAAGACAAATCAAGTTATGGAAGAATTATTATTGTCGTTATGTGCCAAGTTTCAAATCATCACTAGTAAGTTTGCGTCTTACTTTCTTTCTTGTGGACAGCTTGACCATTTGGTAAACAAGTTAACAAAATGAAGAACTGAGGATTACTTAGGGCAATCCAAAAGTAGTGAGGAAGGTACTTTATTTTCTTAAGGAGCGCTTCAAAAACATTTCTCTGTTAATGAACAGATAGAGCGTCTTTCGCTCTATTTTTCTATGCTATTTGATCAATATTCAACTAATATTATAATAATAAAATTTCGATAAGATCTGTTTCTTTCGCATATGTGCTGGTAGCATGCATGAATGCTCGTGAGTACTTTTTGCATAACGTTTGATAACAACAAGATAGAGAACTGTGGTTTTCACCGTTGGAAAGAGGACATGAAGACGCACCGAATTGTATATTACTGATTTTTTTAATATGATTTTCGAAGTGTTTTTATTCAATTTTCTAACCGTCGGAAAAATTTTTGTTCATGAAAAAAAGCAAAAACAAAAAAGTTGATAGAAAATTGTAGTAGAGGGTCGTCTAAAATACGTACTATCCCGAAATAATTAAATTTAAACATCTGAGTCTCTTGCAGTTTGTAGATCTTCGATTAGCGGTTTGAATGTTAGCCT